CCCCCCCCCCCCCCCCCCCCCCCCCCAAGGTGAGGGGGCCAGGCGGAAGGCATGGAGGCGGCTGCCAAGTTCCAGCCCAGCGGTACCAGCGCTGCCCACAGCCCCCCTCCCACCTCCCGCGGGGGAAGGGGGTCTTTCTAAACTGCGCAGGCGCGGGCGGGGCTTCCCATGAAAGAGGAGCCTATTGATAGGGGGAGGAGCAGCAGGGGTGGAGACGGAGGAAGGGGGCGTGGTCTCCTGCTAGGGAGGCGCCGCAGTCTTGGATAGGGGGAGAGGCGGGCTTTCTTGGCAAAAGGGGCGGAGCCTGTCCGAGAGTGGCGGGGCTTTTTGTGGGGAGGGTGGAGCGAGTGGATCTGGTTCTTCAGAAGAGGGGGGCGTGGCGTTGCTTAGGAGGAGGAGCTATCCTGGAGGGGAGGGGCTTATTGCTGGGGAGGAGGGGCAAGGTTATTCTGGCCTGGGAGGAGGAGCTACCATGGAGGGGCATGGCCCGTTAGTGAAGAGGCGGAACTACCCAGGAGAGGTGGGGAGTTACTGGGTGCAGGGTTATTTTGGATGGGCTGGGCCTGTTGCTTAGGAGGAGGGGATATCCTGTAGGGGCGGGGCCTGTTGCTGGAGAGGCGGGGCTAGCCTGGAGGCGTGGGGTCTTATTGGGTGCAGGGCTATCCTGAAGGGTGGGGCTTATTGTTGGACAGGAGGGGGAAGGTTATTCTGGATGGGTGGACCTTTTGCTTGGGAGGAGGGGCTATCCTGGTGAGGTGGGGCCTATTAATGGAGAGGAGTGGCTAGCCCAGAGGGTGGGGTCTTACTGGATTATTCTGGGTGGGAGGGGGCTGTTGCTGGGGATGGGGGGGGGGCTGTTGCTGGAGAGCAGCATTTCCCGGCAGGGCCCTTGATCACCTGGTGGGACCCCCTTCCAGCCTCACCACCCGCGTCTCTTCCCCAGAGCACCAACACCTGCGCTACAACCCTCTTCGTGAGGACTGGGTGCTGGTCTCTGCCCACCGCATGCGGCGCCCCTGGCAAGGGCAGGTGGAGAAGCCCCCCGAGGAGGAGCCCCCTCGCCATGACCCGGCCAACCCTTTGTGTCCTGGGGCCACGCGGGCAAACAGCAAGGTAGGCAGCCTGGGGAACAGAGGGCAGAAAGAAGCATAAGGGGATCACGTGACTCCGGGACATAAATGAAAACCGTGATTAACACGAGTCCGTTGCCCAGCATCTGAATTCTGGTCACACGAACGCAGAGATGCTGTGGGGATTGGGTGAAAACTGGTGGGTTTTTTCACTGCTATTGTAAGTAACAGTCTCCAAATGGAAGGTTTATGCCGAGGACCCCCTGTGGGACCTTGGTCTTATCTAAAAAGGAGGAAAAATCTTGGACCACCCCCCCCCCCAACAGTTCATTATATAACTAATATCTTAATAATCCCTCACTCTTTGTGTCATGCAGGTAAATCCTCACTATGAGAGCACATTCGTCTTTGACAATGATTTCCCTGCATTGCAACCAGATGCTCCGGAACCTGGTAAGAAGAGCTCTTTTCGTCTTTGGCTAAGCCAAGAATGCCCCAAGTCTGTTCTTTTCTTCATAAGACAACTGGATTTTATTGTTTTTTTCTTTGAAGACCGAGAAGCTCCTTCAGCTCTGACTGGATGGTGGGGAATGGAAGGATTTATGTTCCTTGCAGACAGCTGGTCATTTGCAACTGTTTGAGATGGCCCTTGAGGCCACCTGGAGGTTTGTCTCTGTCCTCAGGGTGGTCACTTTGTGAGACCCCTGGACACTCCTCGAGGGTAGCCCCACGTAGAGCTCATTGCAGTGGTCTAGGCAGGAGGATGGCCAGAGCTCACCTTCCCTTCATCAGGGCGATTGGCGGTTGCTTTCCATGGTGCTGAAATTCACCTCCGTCTCTTTTTGGCTCCAGGTTGGCCTGTTGGGTCCCAGGGAGAGCTCTCTGGGTGCCTCGACTTACGACCACAATTGGGTCACTTGAGTGGTGCTAATAGGTGTGGCTCTGTTGTGGCTTGCCAGCTGCCAGCAGAGCTGTCAGCAAGACCCGGATGATGAGGTTAGGGAAGAACGTGGGCCAAGTCTGGAGCCTGGAGAAGCCTCTGGTGGATGCTCAGCATCAGACACAGAGATGGAGCCAGGGCCGTCCGACATTCCCCGGGCACCGGAGAGGCAGCTGCCTTTGGAGGCTGAGTTGAGGGAGGAGGAAGAACAGCTGGGGTCTGCACATATGCGCAGAGCAGTCAGGAGAGGTGAACAACGGAGGACGAGGAGTCGACTTGGGAAGCAAATCAAACGTGGGCGCTGAATGGCCCCTCCCTGGATGGGGAATAAATAGGAGGAAAGTGGAGTGGTGGTTGTAAGGGACAACAGTTCGTATTTCTGAAGATTTTGCTCATCGTGTTTCATGTCACAAAGGCTGCCTTGCCAGAACTGAGGTTTGTCTATTTCTCTGTTTGAACTGACTTAATTTGCAGCCTGGGATCTCACAATCTTGCCTTTATCCTAACGTGCTGATAAGGACTATCGCTTCAGTTGACTTCTTACCAGGACTCTTGCCCGGACTTTCTGTTGGTGAATGCAGTTAATTCCCAATGTGTAAATAAAGAGGGGTTTTTTTTTTTTCCTTTGTGGGGAGTCTTGCTTCTTGCTTCTGGGAAGGCCAGGTCAGAATAGCTCCTTGGAAGATCTGGAAGGCCGTCTGCACCACTCAGGTGGCCCCTGTGAGGATACAGATAAGCCTCCAAGGGGCCTCAACGGCTCTTCAAAAAGGATGCAAATGACCAGCTGTCTGCAAGGAATATAAATCCTTCCAACCATCCAGTCAGAGCTGAAGAAGCTTCTTGGATGAGAAGCGAAACGTCTGCAGAGAAAAATAAGAAAGTCCAATTGCCTCTTGAAAAAGCACCTTTGGGATAACCAGGACCTTGGGTGACTGAGGATCTCCATAGACACTAAGCCAAGAATGTTGGCTTGGTGGTGCCAGGGGGGTGTATCTCTCCCTGTCCTTCAGATGTTAGTTTAAATGGGACCGAACAGAAAACTGCGAAATGCATTTGTTCATCCTATAAGTCACTTTTTTCACTTGTTACAACTTTGAAGGGTCAGTAAATGAATGGCTGTTAGTTGAGAACTCACCGTAGCTTATTTGTTTCTTCCATTGTCTGAAATGTACATCAGAGCAGCCAGTCTCTAATTGGGGACTTCCTTGTGAGACACCTAAGGGTGGGATTTAAGGCGAATCCCCTTCAAACATTTGCCATGTATTTATTTATTTGGGCGTTTTCAAAGAAACAAATAAATACTCTGGGTAACTCTGGGTGGCTTACAGTCATAAAAATGTTGTCAGGGTTTCAAATAGCATCCAAAATTAAATCAGAGTCCAAGGCAAAGGATTCCTTTTATTCCAATTTATTAAGAGAGCCACGTTGGCACACCTGGAAAATCCCGAATGTGAAAGCTTCCTGGTTTTCCCACCCAGTTGAAAGTTCAAGATCTCACACACACACACACACACACACCACAAATCCATCCCATGGTCCAATCTTCCACTGCCATGCTGGCAGTTCCACCCATTCAGTTCTGATCAGGTGCAGAGGTGCAGAGACAAAGGATAATGACCTTGGCTTTCTAGAAAGAATGTTGTTATGGCTGCATATCATCTAACTCTGTACAATCCCTCCCTCCCATTTCCCCACCATAGAAAAGGCATAGTAGAATAATAGAAAGTGTGGCAGCCCCAGGACCCAAAAGAAAAGAAGCTGCAGGCTGACAAATGTATCTATACATATATACATTGCAACAGTGTTTCTCAACCTCTGCAGCTTTAAGGGGTGTGGCTGGGGAATTTGGGGAGTTGAAGTTATTGCACAGGCTGAGAAACACCGCATTAAAACATGAATACATTAAATCCCAATCATTAAAATCTGAGGACACGCGGGGGGAGGGCTGGGGTGGAATGGGAGATGGGGGAGAGGTGGGATCCGTCTTTACTCGATAAAATCCCCTCCACCGTGCTGTCCCCCTGTTGGGGAGCCAACCAATCAGGTCTTTAAGGCCCTTATGAAAAGGTAGGAGGGTTGGGACCAAACTCACACGGAGGCAGAGGGAGGAAGATGTTCAGAAGGAGGAGCCACAGGAGAGGAGGCCTTCCTCATGGATCCTGCCAGACTGAATCAGTTTGACGGGACTCGCCATCCTGCGGTCAAGATTGAATTGCTTATTCTGAGCTTCCATCGCTCTTCAACTTGTCACTCAAGCGGGAGGAGGGAAGAGGGAAACTGAATGCTGAGAATGTGTGTGTGGAGAGCCTGAGAGTCCGGAAACCATCAAGGTCACAGCTGCAGGTGCTGGAGAAAGAGATGGACTGTTCCCATAGCAAGAGGACGTCTCTTCATCGGACAGTGGGATCACCCAGGGGTGGGGAGAAAGGGAATTTATTGTTTCATTAAGTGAATATTTGCACGGGAAACCCCAGAGCTGGTTTTGCTTCTGCAGTTCTGAGATGGTGTATCCAATAAAGTTGTACTTTTGGGGAGTTCAAATATCCTGAGAGTGTTTATTTCTTTTGCGTTCGCTAGTTGGTCCGTGGATACCTGCCTCCCGTTTTCTCTTAATTATACCTCCTTTTTCTTATTGATGGACATTCTTCTCCTGCAGAGCCCGACGAACATCCCTTGTTGCGTTCAGCGTCAGCGCGAGGCGTGTGGTAAGTCTAGCCTGCTCTTTGTTGCCCTGAGCTAAGTCTCATTAACCCCAGAAGGGGAATTGCTTTCAGCTGTTATTTCCATTTTATGATGTTATGAACTATAAGCCATGGTGGCGCAGTGGTTAGAGTGCAGTAATGCAGGTGACTTCTGCTGACTGCCAGTTGACTGCAGTTCACCAGTTTGAATCTCACCAGGCTCAAAGTCGACTCAGCCTTTCATCTTTCTGAGGTCCGTAAAATGAGGACCCAAATTGTTGGGGGCGATTTGCTGACTCTATAAACGACTCAAAGAGGGCTGGAAAGCACTGTGAAGTGGTATCTTAAGTCTGCTATTGTTATTCCTTCCTCCCTCCTTGCATTTTTCCTTCCCTCCCTATTTTTCCTTCCTTCCTTCCTTCCTTCCTTCCTTCCTTCCTTCCTTCCTTCCTTCCTTCCTTCCCACCCACCTACCTACCTACCTGGTGGTGCAGTGGTTAGAGTGCAGGACTTCAGGTTACTTCTGCTGACTGCTGCTTGCCTGCAATTTGGCAGTTCGAATCCCACCAGGTTCAATCTTGACTCAGACTTCCATCCTTCCGAGGTCAGTAAAATAGGACCCAGATTGTTTGGGGGGCAAGAGGCTGACTCTGTAAACCGCTTAGAGAGGGCTGGAAAGCTCTGTGAAGCAGTATATAAGTCTAGGTGCTATTGTGATAGACGGAGGGAGGGAGGGAGGGATAGGTAGATAGATAGCAATAGCACTTAGACTTATATATACCTCTTCACAGTACTCTACAGCCCTCTCTAAGCGGTTTACAGAGTCAGCCTATGGCCCCCAACAATCTGGGTCCTCATTTTACTGACCATGGAAGGACGGAAGGCTGAGTCAACCTTGAACCGGTCAAGCTTGAACTGCTGGAGTGGGCAGTGAGTTAGTTCTGCAATGCTGCATTTTAACCACCATAGGCAGGTAGGTAGGTAGGTAGGTAGGTAGCTAGATCCTCCTCCCCCTTCTCCCCCTCCTCCTCATACCTCCCTCCCTTCTAGCACTGATGATGTGACCTAGTTGGGTCATGAAACGTCTGCAAGAAAACCCCCAAGCTGAGAGAGCACCAGGGACCCCTCAGAACCAAATAGGCTGGGGATGGATTATTGCTCCTTTTCTGCTTCCCCCTTTCTCTCCTTTAAGATGAGGGTCACCTGCGTAGATGGAATTCAGGGATGGTACTTTCTGTTGTTGCCTCATTTTGTCCCTCCCTCCCTCCCGCTCTTCTCCTCAGCAAAGTCATGTGCTTCCATCCTTGGACTGACCTGACTCTGCCCCTCATGTCTCTTGCTGAGATCCGCCGGGTGATTGACAAGTGGGTGGAGATAGCGGTCGAGTTGGGTGCCTCTTACACCTGGGTGCAGGTGAGTATCTCTGCAAGGGATGGTGGCCCAGCCTTTCCTCTGCTGTGCCCAGTTTAAATCCTACACCAGGGTGGTCCAAGTGTTTTTCAACCTTAGCAACTTGCTGTCTGACTGGGGAATTCTGGGAGTCGAAGTCCTCACATCGTAACATTGCCTGAGGAATTCTGAGTGTCAGGGTTCCAAATAGCACCCAAAGGTAAATCGGAGTCCGAGGCAAAGGATTCCTCAAAGCTCCAACTGATGAAGAGAGCCACGTTGGCACATCTGGGAAAAGCCAAATCTGAAGGCTTCCCGGTTTCCCCCACCCAGTTGAAAGTTCAAGATCTTGTCCTCACGCCCACCAGCCCATCCCATGGTCCAATCTCCCACCGCCATGCTGGCAGTTCCACCCATCCAGTTCCGGTCAGGTGCAGAGACAAAGGATAATGACTTTGGCTTTCTGGAAAGAATGTTGTTATGGCTGCATATCATCTAACTCCGTTCACCCCCCCCCCCATTTCCCCACCATAGAAAATGCATAGGAGACTAATAGGAAATGTGGCAGGCCAAAGATCCAAAAGAAAAGATGGCTTGCAGGCCTGACACTAGGTGTCGAAGTCCACAAGTCTTAAGGTGGCCAAGGTTGGGAACCCCTGATGTAAACCAAACGATCCTGTTGTTTTGTTTGTTGTTCTGTCTCCTTGTTTAAAAGGGATGCTCAGTGGCTAAGATGCTGAGCTTGTCGATCAGAAAGGTCGGCAGTTCGGTGGTTCGAATTCCTAGCGCCGTGTGAGCTCTCGTGACTTGTCCCAGCTTCTGCCAACCT